GTCTCGATTCAGAATTTCAGATTTTCTTTGTGAGACCAACAATATGTGGCCCAGAGAGGAGTTGGGGTTCTAGCGTCAGTGCCAGTGGTCACTGAGCCCAAGACCATTGGGTTCCTTGGTCTAGTTCCACAGGAAGTTGGCAATTAGGTGTTCCATGCTCGCCAATAAAGCCTTGCCCGGTAGCCACTAGAATGAGGATCTTGCTAGGTGGTGAATGGCAACAACATTATTTTCAGTTCCAGAAAAAACTAAAGACTCAGAGAGGGTAATCTAATAATATTTCATTTCCATGACTTTCAAAAAAAGAAACATCAGTTGATGGTTGAAAATTATGACCAAACTTTTTTTCTCTTCTATCCTCGGACATTGTTATTTGTGTAACATTCCTATTCTAAAAATATGGAACTCAAAAACACCATGTCATCTGCTTAACCTGCAGTACTGCCATTATCCTTTTTAACCCACTGTCTAACTTGCTTTGTTGAATTATTTCCTCTGTACCTCCTTGTGCCAGACTTCCGGTGCTTACTGGTGCTTGGCCTGTTTGAGGAACCACCTGAATTTGTTTCTACAGGGACTGCTGTGTCACCTTGTTGTTGCTCTTGTTGTTGTTCAGTAGCTTCTTCAGTTGATGGAGGGACGGCCATTGTGACTGGATTCTGAAGATACATACCTGGCAAGACAACAATGCTTTTTTTGGGTTCAATCAAGCCACTGCTTTCTTCCTGTATTTTTAAGATTGTCTCAAACTTCTGCCTTCTTATGTTCTCTGACTCAGACTGAAGGATCTCATCATTGTCGGCGTCAGATCCATCTGAGATCTGGAAATGCATCAAAATGCAATTAACTACACTAGCTTCTGATAAAATCGATGTTTATTTTATGAAGTATTTACACATCTAAAAAAGTACATGCAGAACATCTCAGAGCCATTAATGATTCGCTCAGTCATTGCTAAGCAAGAGCCATCAAACTCAAAAAGAGAATATAAAATTGTCATTTTGAACTGGTGGACAGACCATATCAGAATGGAGATGGCATAAGTTTAAAGTTAGCTTTCAAACTTTAAATTATGCCTTGGTCCTGTCCTCAGCTCCCTATTATCCATTTGTCCTTTGTTTTTGAGTGTTATGGTTACTTTACAGGATCAACGTGATGGATTATATCGTTGTCAACATGAACAGTAAAAATGAACTTTCATGAATTATACCACATTCAATGAATCAAAGGACATACCAGTTGAGAAGAATGAGTGTCAACCAAGTCAAGCACATGTTCTAAATCCTTGGCATGAAAATCTTTACGGCAAACAGGACAGTTTCCAATACTTTTCTCTCCTGCTCCGTTCATGTGCAATGATTAGAATAACCAAGGTCTTCCCAATTTAGACAGATTAATATCACAAAAGGAGATTATAATAACCAACGTCCTCCAAATTAAAGAAAAATTATTATAGATAACATTTAAATGACACATCTATAAACTGTACATAAGATAAACTGTACATACGAGATGATTAATAAATTCATTCTATTCATTTTGACGTGAAAGTACCTTCATGATCTCCAGTGTCCCTTAAAAAGTGCAAGGATGCAGCAGACGAACTTTTAGCGTTGACATCTTTCTCAGTTTGGAGCCAATTCCACCATCTAATAATACATTCACTGCCATACATAAATTAAAAGGGGGGAAAAAAAGAAGAGAAAAATCAGGCACAAAACCATTCATCATATAACCATTAATAGAAAGACTGCAATGCATGGCTGAATAAGAGACAGTACCTGTGAAAGCAATGAAAGCAAGACATCAACTTCATAAATGGCAAAGCTGTGCTCTGATCACCTTCAGACACCAGTGGATGCATACACAATGGACAATCTCCATCAGGGTGATTCATAAGAGACAGCCACTCCACTGCTTCCTAGAAGTGCAAATACATAATATTACTCTCCAAAATGCAGACAAAATTTCAGATTTTGTGTGAAATCACAATTTGTTGATGCAGCTTATTGATAATTCCACATGCTCTTCTAGTTTGTGCTCTCTGGCTGAGAACATTACATGCACCAAAATTTACACAACTAACTGGAGCAGTTAGCACTGAAGCACTCTAACAGTCCAACTTGATGCCAGAGAAGTAACTCATGTCAAACTAAAAGATGCTGATGGATGGATATATGCTATGACAGATACCTCACATAGTGCTACAAGCATCAAACAGGAGGTGAGCTCGCATGCTTTGCCTTGTATGCTACTTAATAGATGCTTTTGCCTTTTTTCATCAAGACCTTTGGAATCTACAAGATGAATGTGAGGTGGTTTGTCTGGATACTATGACAAAAAACAGAACGCTAGTGAGCACAAATCGAAATGAAGAATAAAAACCAAAACATGGAATTATGGAAGTATGAAGAAAACTAAATCCCAGATGTATCTCCAAACGTCCTAGCTAAGAAAAATATCAGAAGATGTATAACCAAAATCTAAGACAAACATCATATGATGTAGAACTTATGTCATAGATAAGAAATAAGTTTTTCAAAGGCCACAAATTTGCGTAACATCACAACTTTTGATTCCCAACTTTATTATATTGGTTTTCTGTTAATTTTCCACTTGATACCTAATCACATCCTTGTCTTTTCACAGTAAAATCTTCACTACCATTGTGAGCACTGCATTTAGTTAAAGAAACCACATCTACAAGCCAAGCATCTAAAAGTTCAAAGTTAATTGATGAAACAATATTTTTGCACGCCAACACTACCTCGGGACCTGCTTGTATTCCAACAACTGCCTCCACAAACTACAGAAGAGAGGGGGAAAGGGCAACGCACAGAATCAGCATCAGTAAAAGGGGGAGAATCTAAAGCAAATTGAGATATGAGTTTAAGCAAATTCATCATACCTGGTAATTCTAACACAATGATGAATGAATAGCTAAATATTAAGGATTAATTAACAATCAAAACAAAGATTGACCCTTTCCCTGTATTACTAAAATTCAACACCTGCTTCATGTTCTGGTTTAACAAATTCAAGCAATGGCTTCAAAAGGTACGAAATCGAATAGTAATTTAGCCGATCTTCCCCCTCTTAGAATGCTAAGCGGGAGCTCAAATTTCCTTCACTTTGGAATTTCATTACTTCAAGATCCAAGATTCGAACTATAACAAAATCCATGAATATTGTAGATAGAGGAAAGAATCCCTACTTCTAATCCTACCTAATTTTCCCTTCGATTTTCACGGCAACCAAACATACCTGTTGAGAAGAGACATCGGCGGTGCGCGGCTTGATGTGGAGGTGAAGGTGAGGAGGAAAGGAATCAATAACGACGCAGTCGTCTCCGTACACAGCCTGCACGGCTTCGACTTCTTCCTTCACTTCAACCTCGTCCGCCATTTTTGCCCTCCTGTTCTGTTTTCCTCCTTTTTTTTACTTTAATTTATTATTTATACAAATTTGGCTTCCCAGCGATTATTTTATTTTGCGTGCCCCCGTGGCATGACCTTTTTTGCCACATATTCAAGAAAAGTGGCTTCCCCTCGAGAAAGTCTGCTGTATCCCCGGATACAGCAGACGTGGTATCCCAACCTAATGGGAAACCACCACATCAGTTGTTTTTTGGGTTTGGGATTGATGAAGTCTGAAAAAATTATTGATGTGGTGTTTCCCATTGGGTTGGGATACCACGTTGCTGTATCCCGGGGATACAGCAGACTTTCTCCTTCCCCTCAGCTTGTCCGAACCCACGTCACGCTTGGATAAAATATCATTAAAAAAATAAAATGAGATTGAAAAACAGTGGTGCCATAAGGATATATTATTTTTTTTATAATTTTTACATATTATTAAATAAATAAATATATTTAATATTACAAATCTCATATAAATTAAAATTTTAATTATTTAAATAATACGTTAAATTGTATAAAAAGATAAAATAAAAATATCGTATAAAAATCATTTCCTATTGAAAGAAATCAACACATTTTAATAATTGAAATGTTAAAATTAATAATAAAATTTTAGAATATTTTTGATAAATTAATAAAAAAAATTTATTTAAAAGTATTTAGATAATTTTTTAAATAAATTTTAACTTTTAAAATATTAAGATATTTAGATTTTCACTTTAAAAAAAATAAAATTACAAATTACAATATAATTAATTGAGATAAGTACAG